GGGGCGCTCAGCGGGGGTGGAGGCCAGCGCACAGGCGCACGCCCTGCCGCGGCCCGCGTCTGCCTCCCCCAGCCTCGCCAGGCCACGGGGGCGTGGAGGCCCCGCGTCTGCCTTCCCCAGCCTCGCCAGGCCACGGGGGCGCAGAGCCACGGGGGCGCGGAGGCCCCGTGTCTGCCTCCGCCAGCCTCGCCAGACCACGGGGGCGTGGAGCCACGGGGGCGTGGGGTCCCGCGTCTGCCTCCCCCAGCCTCGCCAGGCCACGGGGGCACGGAGCCACGGGGGCGCGGAGCCACGGGGGCGCGGAGCCACGGGGGCGCGGAGGCCCCGCGTCTGCCTCCCCCAGCCTCACCAGGCCACGGGGGCGCGGGGGCCCCGCGTCTGCCTCCCCCAGCCTCGCCAGGCCACGGGGGCGCGGGGGCCCCGCGTCTGCCTCCCCCAGCCTCGCCAGGCCACGGGGGTGCGGAGCCACGGGGGCGCGGAGCCACGGGGGCGCGGAGCCACGGGGGCGCGGAGGCCCCGCGTCTGCCTCCCCCAGCCTCGCCAGGCCACGGGGGCACGGAGCCACGGGGGCGCGGAGCCACGGGGGCGCGGAGGCCCCGCGTCTGCCTCCCCCAGCCTCGCCAGGCCACGGGGGTGCGGAGCCACGGGGGCGTGGAGCCACGGGGGCGTGGAGGCCCCGCGTCTGCCTCCCCCAGCCTCGCCAGGCCACGGGGGCGCGGAGCCACGGGGGCGTGGGGGTCCCGCGTCTGCCTCCCCCAGCCTCGCCAGGCCACGGGGGCGCGGAGGCCCCGCGTCTGCCTCCCCCAGCCTCGCCAGGCCACGGGGGCGCGGAGGCCCCGCAACCCAGCACCGCATCCGGCCGGTGAAGCGTTCACAGGAGGTCAATTGGGTCACGAGTCTTCTCAGAGCCACAGGCCTGCCTGATTCCAGCTACTCAGGCAGGAGGTGAGGCAGAGGACCGCTGTTCAAAGCCAGCCTGGGCATGCAGGTCTGTGAGACTCTTATCTCCCACTGACCACCAAAAAAGCCAGAAGTGGAGCCGTGGGTCCAGCACTAGAGCAATAGCCCTGAGTACAAAAGCTGCGTGAGAACCAGAAACACCAACACCAACACCAAAGAGGCTCGGTGGCCTCTCCTCCCTGTGGGCTGCACAAGCAGACCCACCTGGTCTCCTGCCCTCTCCCCTCCCTGCACAGGGCCACCTGGGCTTCTCTTCAGGGCTGTGACTGTATGCACTCTGCTCTGCCCCAGTGCCCTGGCGCATGCTGCTCCTGGTGCCAGGCCCTCCCGCACCCCTCAGCCTCCTCCAGGCAGGACAGGCTTGCTCTTTTCCACCCAGGCATGGAGCCAAGGGCAGCCATCCTCCTGAGCGTCTAGAGAACTGAGGGCTGGGAGGACCAGCCGGCACCTCTGCCGCCCTGGGGCCGTGGAGAAGCCGGGGGAGGCTGGGGCTTCTGTCACCTGCTGTAGCCTCAACTTGACTGTTGGAAAGGCTCAGGGCCTCTAAACACCTCCCCCCCGCCAAAGGTTAATTTTTAATGTCACGCTGGTAAATATTTGATGCCGCTGCTTTAACGGGAGACAGTGCCCGGGACATGCCAGGCCGCGGCCGCCTCTGCGGGCACCGCCTCCCAGGCTCCTCACCCCTGCATGAATATTTCAAAGCCCTTTCTGATCTCCACGGACAGACACAAGGTCAGGGCCTTGTGTCTGCGAAGAAGCCATTCTTCCATCTCACCCAGGGGAAACTGAGGCCAGGAGGGGCCAGGCCTGCTAAGGCCAAAGGCTCGGGGCCAAGGCAGACACATCTTTGTGTCTATTACAATCTATTCACCAGGCTGTGGCGTTTGATCGTGAGTTATGGCTGCTTTGAACAAGAGACACCCCCCCCCCCCCCGTTCCTGTCATGTCTGTGCTGGTCCTGGCTGGGCCCACCTGAGACAGGACAAAGGGAACACACACGCACACACACACGCACGCACACGTACTCACGCACACACATGCACGCACGCGCGCACACACATACACACGTGCACACACATACACGCACACGTACTCACGCACACACACACACACGTGCACACACACATGCGTGCACATGCAAATACACGCACATGCACTCACGCACACTCACGCACACATGCACACACACGTGCACACACATGCTCACACGCACACACATGCATACACGCACACGTACTCACGCACACATGCACACACACGCACACACATGTACTCACGCACACACATGCGTGCACACACACATACACATGCACTCACGCACACTCACGCACACACATGCACACATGCGCACACACACACACACACACACACGCGCGCGCACACACTTCCCAAGTGGAGAGGACAGTGCTTCGGGAGTGTCTGAGTTCTCTGAAGAAGTTCCCTTGATTTAAAGTCAATGAAAAAAAATGTGTTAAGTAAATTGCAGAAGATCAACCCCACAGAAAGGGGGCCGGAGAGGGAAGCACAGACTCCTAAAGGGTTGACTGTGACTTGTCTTGGGGGCAACGCTGGGGAGGAGGGAATTCATCCCCGGTGTCAGGGGAGGGGCAAAGAGACAGGGTGGTGTGGGTGAGTGAGGAGCCTGGGCCAGGACTGCACACGCCCCCCCTCCACGCCCCCTCCACGCCCCCTCCACGCCCCCTCCACGCCCCCCTCCACGCCCCCTCCACACCCCCCTCCACACCCCCTCCACGCCCTCCTCCACGCCCCTCCACGCCCCTCCACGCCCCCTCCACGCCCCCTCCACGCCCCCTCACACCCCCTCCACGCCCCCTCCATGCCCCTACACACCCCCTCCACGCCCCCCTCCACGCCCCCTCCACGCCCCCTCCACGCCCCCTCCACGCCCCCTCCACGCCCCCCTCCACGCCCCCCTCCACGCCCCCCTCCACGCCCCCTCCACGCCCCCTCCACGCCCCCCTCCACGCCCCCTCCACACCCCCAACACGCCCCTCCACGCCCCCCTCCACGCCCCCTCCACGCCCTCCTCCACACCCCCTCCACGCCCCCCTCCACGCCCCCCTCCACGCCCTCCTCCACACCCCCTCCACGCCCCCCTCCACGCCCCCCTCCACGCCCTCCTCCACGCCCCCCTCCACGCCCCCTCCATGCCCTCCTCCATGCCCCCTCCATGCCCCCTCCACGCCCCCCTCCACGCCCCTTCCACGCCCCCCTCCAAACCCCCTCCATACCCCCTCCACACCCCCCTTCCACACCCCCTCCACGCCCCCTCCACGCCCTCCTCCACACCCCCTCCACGCCCCCTCCACGCCCCCCCTCCACGCCCCCTCCACACCCCTCCACGCCCCCTTCCACACCCCCTCCACGCCCCCTCCACGCCCCCTTCCACACCCCCTCCACGTCCCCTCCACGCTCCCTCCACGCCCCCTCCACACCCCTCCACGCCCCCTTCCACACCCCCTCCACGCCCCCCTCCACGCCCCTCCACGCCCCCTCCACGCCCCTCCACGCCCCCTCCATGCCCCTCCACGCCCCCTCCACGCCCCCTCCACACCCCCTCCATGCCCCCTCCACGCCCCCTCCATGCCCCCTCCACGCCCCTTCCATGCCCCCCTCCACGCCCCTCCACGCCCCCTCCACGCCCCCTCCACGCCCCCTCCATGCCCCCTCCACGCCCCCTCCACACCCCCTCCTCACCCCCTCCACGCCCTCCTCCACGCCCCCTCCACGCCCTCCTCCTTCAGGAATGCCCATCCCCGGAGGCCAGCAGAGCCGAAGACGCAGGGCCGGGCAGTGCAGCCCCTCCTCCCAGTCTCCTTTGGACCCCACGCCGTGGGGCTGAGGCCTGCTTCCCTGCCCCTGCCCCTGCCCCTGCACCTGCCCAGATCCCCCCGGGCTCTCGCCCAGGCTGGCCTCAACCTCCGGCCTTGGGGTCACTGGGATGGCGGGTGTGAGCACCGAGCCTGGCCCCCACATCCGTCCTGCCTGGCGGCTCTGCTGCCCCCCTCCCCCGTTTGGTGGGGGAGAGGAGGTGATTCCATTGGAATGAGAATCCCAGAGCGTCAGAAGACTCCACACTGAACGCCCAGGCGGCTCTGAGATGGGTTCAGAGGCCGCGGAGGCCGGGGAGCCCCCCCCCCCCCGCTGGGCCCTCACCGTGGGACGGTCTGGCTTTCCTGCAGCGCCGCCCCTCCCCTCCCTGGACCCCCACCGTGGGATGATCTGCCACCCCTCCCCGGCCCGGCCCACGCGGGAAGCAGGCCCCTTGCACTCCAGCCCTGCACCGGGCGGGTGGTGGAGGTGCAGCATGCACAGCCTGGCTGGCCGGCTCATGGTGACCTCACTCGTTACTGACCAGGGCTGAAGCATGTTAGTGCGCCCCTGTGGCACATGCCCAGCCAGGGGGCCGCGCCCCTGACTCTGCCAGGATCTGGACAGAGCTGAGATGTGGCGGCGCTGGGGTTGGGGCAGAGCCTGGCTGGCGGCAGGGCCCTGGGGCCCTAAGCCTTGTTCGGGGTCCTGATGTCCCCGCAGGGCACCGGGCCCTGTGGTCACAGCCACCCTACAAGACGGTCCCCAAACATCACCTCCCTCCTCCTCCGCCTCCCGCACCACTCAGCTCAGGGACACTTAGGCAACAAGACAGTCCACAGAAGATGAGTCTTTCTGACCTCACCATGCCATCTTCCCAGCCCCAGACACGCTGATTCTTTCCCTGGGCCAGACCATGAAACTTGAAGCACCAGCCAGTCCCTCCTTTCACCCTGGCTGCTAGGAAACTCAGCACTAGGAAACTCCACTTCCAGCTCCATGCCTGATAACGCTCGCTCGAGCTGCGGCTGTCAGCACAAGCATGCAGGCCTTCCTCCTCCCTGCTCTCCTCCTGGCTTTCCTTCCTCGGCCCATGAGCCACTTCTACTCGTCCTTGGCCAGAAAAGAAATGAGCACGCGCAATCATCGGGTGATGTAGACAAGCAGACAGGGCGGTGATGCGGACGCCTGGGGGGGGGGGGCACTCACCAGGCGGACAAGCTCTGGAAGGTCATCAGCGGTGGGCTGTGCGTGGGCGCAGGCGTGGCCTGGGGGGGCTGCGGCCGGGAGCCCGGGGGGGGCTGGGGCTGCGGGGCCTGGGCGGGGGCCCCCCACCGCCGGGGGCCCTGTTTCATCCACCGCCCGTGGATGCCCCACCGCACCAGGCAGCCTTTGCAGAAGTCGTAGTTCATTGCCGAGTAATACAGGAGGTCCAGGATCAGCAGCGTGAGCACAAGGAAGCCGTAGATCCACACGCCCAGCAGTGCAGGGTAGTTGCTGGGGAAGACAGACAGGGAAACTGAGTCACGGGCCCAGCAGCGCGGGGTAGCTGCAGGGGTGGACAGGCAGAGAAACGGAGTCCCAGGCCCCGCTGGCTCAAATGGGCACCCGCGCTGACCAGCCTGCAGGGCCAGTCCCTGCCGCTGGCCTCTCCCGGCACTGCCCTCTCCAGGGCCGGCGGGCTGCGAGGCTTTGGGAGTTTGTTTTGGGGGCTGAATTCCAATGCGCGCTGTGGACCTGGAGCTGGGCCGACGCAGCTGTGGGCCAGGGGGCACGGCCCACAGCAGGCGGGCACCGGGGCCATCACCGCATCGGAGCCCGAGCCTCTGCCATTTGCTAAGCAATCCCCAGAGGCGTCCTGGGGGACACCGCCCCGCACCTCCAGACCGGAGCGAGGTGCAGACGGGGGCCCTGTCCAGGGCCGGGTCAGGAAGACAGCGGCTGGGCGTGCCCGGCCGCCTGCCCCGGCCAACTGGCCATGTGAGCAACCAGGATGCCAGCCCCAGGAAGGTGTGGGCCCCGTGAGCCCGGCCTCCAGGGGCAGGCGGCCTCAGAGGCGGCGCAGGCTCGGGCCCCGCCCCACTGTCCCACACGTCCTGGGCTGGCCCTTGCCCGCCGGCTGCCCGCCGCGAGACCTGGCCTCCAGGCCCTCTGGCCACAGCCCAGCGTGGACGGCCCATCCTTCAGGGCCGCTTCTGCGGGGTCCTGGGACCACGGGAGCCCCGGCCCCCTCACCACATGCCCGCAGGCCGCTCTGCGGGCCAAGAACGGGCCGCGTGACCCCAGGGGTGGGGACATGACCCTGGGGCTCCCCACTGTGGGTCCAGGGCCCACTCCCGCCCCGGCACTGGAGCCGGGTCTGCGGGAAGGGGAGGCCGTGGGAAGACGGCTGGAAAATGACAAGAAACCGAGGCTCTCCAGGACGGCAGCCCTCGGCTGGGAGCCGCCGGGCACCCCAGGGTCTGGAGGCACTTGTCCCCGGGGGTGGGAGCCCCGCGGGGCCCACAGGGCACCGGGTGGCCTGGCCCGCCCCCCCCCCCCGCTGGGCTCCATGCTCAGGGCGGTGGGCTGGAGCAGGCAGCCACACCCCGTGGTCCCCGCGTGGGAAGCGGGCTGAGGGTATGGCCGGGTGCCAGGGGTGGGGGGCAGGGGGGGCGCGTGCAGAGCTGGGCAGAGCTCCGCAGAGGACGCCGTCGGCAGCTGCACCTCTAGCCCTCCGTGTCCCGTCCCCTGGGACGGGCTTCGCACTGGCCCCCGCCCAGGTGCAGCCAGGGGCCCACGGGGTCCACGGGGCCTTGCTCGATCGCCTGTGGGGTCAGGGGAGGCTGCAGGGCCTCGAGCAAGCCCGCGTGCCCTGCCCAGCCTCCGACGGCTCTCACCGGCACCGGCAGTGCTCCGGCGCCCGCTGGACGTGGCCATGCCCCCCTCGGCCCCCTCACCCCCCGGGAGCTGGTCCTGGCCCTACGCAGGACTGGGGCCGCATCCCAGGCCCGGGCCAGCACAAAGCTGGCCAGGCTGGCGGGGTGATTTCACACAGAATTATTCTCAGGCCCGAGCAGATGGTGAGAGTATTTGGAGAAGGATGGCTGCGGCTGGCGAGGGGGGGGTGCGGGGGGGGGACCATAGCCAAGGAGCTTCGCTCCTCCCAAACACAGGGAAGAGGCACAGGCTTGCCTGCCCCCCTGCCTTCCTTCCTTCCTTCCTTCCTTCCTGCCTGCCTGCCTGCCTGCCTGCCTGCCTGCCTGCCTTTCCTTCCCTCCTTCCTTCCCACCCTCCCTCCCTTCTCCCTTCCTTTTCCAGACCAGAAATGCACTGGCAAAGCAGAAGAAGCCTGGACGCTAGACACGGAGGCTCATTGGCCTGGTTCCACTCCCCCCAGCTACTCAACAGACACTCATTGATCCCATCTCTCCTACCACGGAAAAAATACATCCTCCCCAAGATTTAGCCTCACACACATTAGGGAAATATTTGAAGCATCTCATAGGAGTCAAGAGAAAGAAAGAATTCTGACTGCATTAGGGATACTAGCCAACACAATCAGACAAGGGAAAAAAAAAAGATGTGGCACAAAGATCTGAAAGGAGGGCTGGGAAGGTGGCTCAGTGGTAGAGCGCTTGCCTTGCATGCCTGAGGCCGTGGGTTCGATTCCCCAGCACCACATAAGCAAAAAGAAAAAAGCTGGAAGTGGTGCTGTGGCTCAAGTGGTAGAGCGCTAGCCTTGAGCTGAAGAGCTGAAGGACAGAGCCCAGGCCCAGAGTTCAGGCCCCATGACCGGACCCAAAAAAAAAAAAAAAAAAAAAAAGATCTGAAAGTAGGCTGAGTGTGGTAGTGCATACCTATAGTACCAGCCCTGGGGAGGTTGTGAGGATAGCACCCTGGGCTACAAAGCAGGGCTCTGTCAAAGAAGGAAAGAGGGAAGGAAGGAGGGAAGGAAGGAAGGAAGGAAGGAAGGAAGGAAGGAAGGGAGGGAGGGACGGATGAAGGGAGGGAGGAGATAACATCAATTACAAGTGTTGTGGTAAGTATTGGAGGTCACCATAGATGACAACCTAGACAGGTTCACATGGAAGTACCAGTCCGGCACACAGGCTGAGGGCACCGCACAGGGTGCATTTGTACTTCAGGCCAGCAGAGACAAGCTAGACAACAAGATGGAGTTGGGACAGCTGGATCCTTATTTAGAAAAAAATAAAATAAAAGAAATAAAATTGGATTCTTACCTCAAAACTTACACCTGAGCAAATCTTATCTAAACACTAGACCAGAGACTTGGAGATTTAAAAAAAAAAACCACAGCATGGAAGAACTAGAAATCTCAGCCACACCCTTGCACCTCAAAAAGGAAAAGGAAAACGGGGCACAGTGTGATTCTGTGAAATGAAGAAGCAGGAGGAGAAAGCACAGGGCACAGGCACACATCGTAACTCCTTCCCACGCAAGGAGCTCCGGTAGACAAATCAGATGCCTAAGAAGACGCTCAAACCAAAAAGAAAACAGCAATAGTAAGGGCAGCCGAGGTGAAGTACGAGGGGGGCCGGCTGTGCGGCTCGGTCCGCCCTGCCTGCTTCACGGCGCCCTGGCCGGTCTCCCCGTCCCGCACGGTGGCCCCCTCCTGCGGCAAGCTGACCTCCAGGGGCCTCCGTCGCCTTAGGGGAAGGGACCCACCACGGGTCACCTCTGGGGTCATCATGAACCCAAAGCTGAACAAACAAAGGAGATAACCCCAGCGCCTCACACCCCAAAGCCTGACGCCCGGGCTCATGGGCTGCCAGCCGCAGCAGCGACTCAAGCCACAGGGCGGGAGGGATCAGGACCCTGGTGGTGGCCGTTTGTCTGGATCAATGTCCGCCAGGGAGTCCGGAGCTCCGCGGCCGGCCGGGCTGGGGGACCCTGCCGGGGGCACTCACTTGTGCGCGTAGCCCTCGGGGCCGGCCGTGAGGTTCGCCTGCATCACCGCCTGGAACTCGGTCTCGCTGCAGCAGTACTTGAACACGGTGTTGTTCCGGTAGCAGCACAGAAAGAAGCTCTTGTTGTCCGAGAGCCGGGGGCAGTGGAAGCCGAAGTGGTAGCGGCCTTTGTGGTCGGTGTAGGGCTCACAGACACGGAGGTGTGCAGACAGCACTGAAAGGCGGGCGGCCGGGCTCAGTGGGGCCCGCCAGCCCCTGGGTGCCCGGGACGGGGCCCGCCAGCCCCTGGTGCCCGGGACGGGGGCTCTGTTCCGGGGCCCGCCAGCCCCTGGTGCCCGGGACGGGGGCTCTGCCCCGGGGCCCGCCAGCCCCTGGGTGCCCGGGACGGGGGCTCTGCCCCGGGGCCCGCCAGCCCCTGCCCGGGACGGCTCGGCCCCAGAGGCGCCGGGAAGCCATGGGCACCTCCTGGGAACCCCAGCGGACCCGCCCCCCGCCGCCCCAGGTCCCTCCCCGGCAGTGTTAGGCTGTGTGTGGGCCTCCTCCAGCCCCAGGCTGGAGCACTGGAGGATGAGCACTGGGTAGTGAGCAGGCCACTGGCTTCCTTCCTGTCTTCGTGCCAGGAATGGCGGTTTCTAACTTGCGTCTCTGAGCCGGGGTTTTGCAGGCCATGCGCCCCCTCCCCCAGCACCAGGGTCCTCTCTGTGTGAGGCCTGGCCGGCGGGAGGCCCTGTCTGCCACCGCCGTCCGCCCACAGCCCACACCGCGCCCAGTGCCGCTGTGCCCGGCTGCGCCAGCTGGCGGGTGGGCGGGCGGCGGGCACCAGGCTGGCGTGGGGGGCTTGACGCTCTCCTGCCTGCCCCAAAGGCTGGCACTCTCTTCCAGGGATGGGACACAGTAGGCAAGAGCCCTGTGGGGGGCATGGAAGTGACAGGGCCACCCTGGGGCCTGGCTCCCCTTCCTTTGTGTTCAGGAATACATAGGTATATAGACAGGGTCACCAGAGCGGCCGGATGCTGGGCCCCGGGTTCTGCTGGAGTTGCAGCGTTGGGCTGGACCCACGGGTCATCAGCACCTCCTGCCGGGCGGGGGGGGCAGGTGCTCCAGTGGGGACCACTGGCCTCGAGGCTGGGGACCGCAGGCCGTAGGGCTGGGGCTGGGCTGGGCACTGGGTGGCCCTCAGAGCAGCCAGCAGGGATCTGGGACCCGGGGAAGGAGGGAGGGGACAGAGCCTGGCCTGCCACTACCCTGCACAGCGCTGGCGCCCGGCTGCTTCCCGCAGCAGACCGAGCTCTGGCCTCTCCCCTCCGGTTCCCTGGGGTCCTGGGCCAGGCCCCCCAGGGCTAGGGCGGAGGTCCGGGGACTTGCTTCCTGGGTGGCCGTGGTCACAGGCATTTCTAGGTCTGCTTCTTCCTTTGTTAGGTCAGGGAGCCGCTGCTCCCTCGTCACCCCCATCCTCCTTCCCCCGGCACAGCAAGACCTGCTGCCCTGGGGCCCAGCCCAGCGGGCCCCACACCAGCCTGCAGGCCCCACACCAGCAGTGGGCTCCAAGCTGCAAACCTCAGCCCCTTGTGTGAGAGGAGGAGACAGAGAAAGAGAGAGGGACAGGAAACAGACGGAGACAGAGGAGAGAGAGAAAGAGAGACAGGAAACAGAGACGGAGACAGAGGAGACAGAGAGAGAGAGAGAGACAGGAAACAGAGACGGAGGCAGAGGAGAGAGAGAGAGAGACAGGAAACAGAGACGGAGACAGAGGAGAGAGAGAGAGAGACAGGAAACAGAGACGGAGACAGAGGAGACAGAGAGAGAGAGACAGGAAACAGAGACGGAGACAGAGGAGAGAGAGAGAGAGAGAGACAGGAAACAGAGACGGAGACAGAGGAGAGAGAGAGAGAGAGAGAGACAGGAAACAGAGACGGAGGCAGAGGAGAGAGAGAGAGAGAGAGACAGGAAACAGAGACGGAGACAGAGGAGACAGAGAGAGAGAGAGAGACAGGAAACAGAGACGGAGACAGAGGAGACAGAGAGAGAGAGAGAGACAGGAAACAGAGACGGAGACAGAGGAGACAGAGAGAGAGAGACAGGAAACAGAGACGGAGACAGAGGAGAGAGAGAGAGAGAGAGACAGGAAACAGAGACGGAGACAGAGGAGACAGAGAGAGAGACAGGAAACAGAGACGGAGACAGAGGAGAGAGAGAGAGAGAGACAGGAAACAGAGACGGAGACAGAGGAGAGAGAGAGAGAGACAGGAAACAGAGACGGAGACAGAGGAGACAGAGAGAGAGACAGGAAACAGAGACGGAGACAGAGGAGAGAGAGAGAGACAGGAAACAGAGACGGAGACAGAGGAGAGAGAGAGAGACAGGAAACAGAGACGGAGGCAGAGGAGAGAGAGAGAGAGACAGGAAACAGAGACGGAGGCAGAGGAGAGAGAGAGAGAGACAGGAAACAGAGACGGAGACAGAGGAGACAGAGAGAGAGACAGGAAACAGAGACGGAGACAGAGGAGAGAGAGAGAGAGAGAGACAGGAAACAGAGACGGAGGCAGAGGAGAGAGAGAGAGACAGGAAACAGAGACGGAGACAGAGGAGAGAGAGAGAGAGAGAGACAGGAAACAGAGACGGAGACAGAGGAGACAGAGAGAGAGAGACAGGAAACAGAGACGGAGACAGAGGAGACAGAGAGAGACAGGAAACAGAGACGGAGACAGAGGAGAGAGAGAGAGAGAGACAGGAAACAGAGACGGAGACAGAGGACAGAGAGAGAGAGAGACAGGAAACAGAGACGGAGACAGAGGAGAGAGAGAGAGAGAGAGACAGGAAACAGAGACGGAGACAGAGGAGAGAGAGAGAGAGACAGGAAACAGAGACGGAGACAGAGGAGACAGAGAGAGAGAGACAGGAAACAGAGACGGAGACAGAGGAGAGAGAGAGAGAGACAGGAAACAGAGACGGAGACAGAGGAGAGAGAGAGAGAGAGACAGGAAACAGAGACGGAGACAGAGGAGACAGAGAGAGAGAGACAGGAAACAGAGACGGAGACAGAGGAGACAGAGAGAGAGACAGGAAACAGAGACGGAGACAGAGGAGAGAGAGAGAGAGAGAGACAGGAAACAGAGACGGAGACAGAGGAGAGAGAGAGAGAGAGACAGGAAACAGAGACGGAGACAGAGGAGACAGAGAGAGAGAGACAGGAAACAGAGACGGAGACAGAGGAGAGAGAGAGAGAGAGACAGGAAACAGAGACGGAGGCAGAGGAGACAGAGAGAGAGACAGGAAACAGAGACGGAGGCAGAGGAGAGAGAGAGAGACAGGAAACAGAGACGGAGACAGAGAGAGACAGAGAGAGAGAGACAGGAAACAGAGACGGAGACAGAGGAGAGAGAGAGAGAGAGACAGGAAACAGAGACGGAGACAGAGAAGAGAGAGAGAGAGACAGGAAACAGAGACGGAGACAGAGGAGAGAGACAGAGAGAGAGACAGGAAACCGAGACGGAGACAGAGGAGAGAGAGAGAGAGAGACAGGAAACAGAGACGGAGACAGAGGAGACAGAGAGAGAGAGACAGGAAACAGAGACGGAGACAGAGGAGACAGAGAGAGAGACAGGAAACAGAGACGGAGACAGAGGAGAGAGAGAGAGAGAGACAGGAAACAGAGACGGAGACAGAGGAGAGAGAGAGAGAGAGACAGGAAACAGAGACGGAGACAGAGGAGACAGAGAGAGAGAGACAGGAAACAGAGACGGAGGCAGAGGAGACAGAGAGAGAGAGACAGGAAACAGAGACGGAGACAGAGGAGAGAGAGAGAGAGAGACAGGAAACAGAGACGGAGACAGAGAAGAGAGAGAGAGACAGGAAACAGAGACGGAGACAGAGAAGAGAGAGAGAGACAGGAAACAGAGACGGAGACAGAGGAGAGAGAGAGAGAGAGAGACAGGAAACAGAGACGGAGACAGAGGAGAGAGACAGAGAGAGAGACAGGAAACCGAGACGGAGACAGAGGAGACAGAGAGAGAGACAGGAAACAGAGACGGAGACAGAGGAGACAGAGAGAGAGAGACAGGAAACAGAGACGGAGACAGAGGAGACAGAGAGAGACAGGAAACAGAGACGGAGACAGAGGAGAGAGAGAGAGAGAGACAGGAAACAGAGACGGAGGCAGAGGAGACAGAGAGAGAGAGACAGGAAACAGAGACGGAGACAGAGGAGAGAGAGAGAGAGAGACAGGAAACAGAGACGGAGGCAGAGGAGACAGAGAGAGAGAGACAGGAAACAGAGACGGAGGCAGAGGAGACAGAGAGAGAGAGACAGGAAACAGAGACGGAGACAGAGGAGAGAGAGAGAGAGAGACAGGAAACAGAGACGGAGACAGAGAAGAGAGAGAGAGACAGGAAACAGAGACGGAGACAGAGGAGAGAGAGAGAGAGACAGGAAACAGAGACGGAGACAGAGGAGAGAGAGAGAGAGAGAGACAGGAAACAGAGACGGAGACAGAGGAGACAGAGAGAGAGACAGGAAACAGAGACGGAGACAGAGGAGAGAGAGAGAGAGAGACAGGAAACAGAGACGGAGACAGAGGAGAGAGAGAGAGAGACAGGAAACAGAGACGGAGGCAGAGGAGAGAGAGAGAGACAGGAAACAGACGGAGGCAGAGGAGAGAGAGAGAGAGACAGGAAACAGAGACGGAGGCAGAGGAGAGAGAGAGAGAGACAGGAAACAGAGACGGAGACAGAGGAGACAGAGAGAGAGACAGGAAACAGAGACGGAGACAGAGGAGAGAGAGAGAGAGAGAGACAGGAAACAGAGACGGAGGCAGAGGAGAGAGAGAGAGAGACAGGAAACAGAGACGGAGACAGAGGAGAGAGAGAGAGAGAGACAGGAAACAGAGACGGAGACAGAGGAGAGAGAGAGAGAGAGACAGGAAACAGAGACGGAGGCAGAGGAGAGAGAGAGAGAGAGACAGGAAACAGAGACGGAGACAGAGGACAGAGAGAGAGAGAGACAGGAAACAGAGACGGAGACAGAGGAGAGAGAGAGAGAGAGAGACAGGAAACAGAGACGGAGACAGAGGAGAGAGAGAGAGAGACAGGAAACAGAGACGGAGACAGAGGAGAGAGAGAGAGAGACAGGAAACAGAGACGGAGACAGAGGAGAGAGAGAGAGAGAGACAGGAAACAGAGACGGAGACAGAGGAGACAGAGAGAGAGAGACAGGAAA